ATTTGTAAATTTTTTGTTTTTTATTCCTTGGTTGACAATAATTTTTTACATGTAATTTTTCCTTTCGTACCTCGTTTAAATTTTTTATATTTTGCCTGTGTGTGTATTTTTTTTTTTTTCAGTAATGTTGTTTTCGTTATCCTTTCCTTTGTCTCGTCTCTTCTTGCATTAAGTTGTTCATTCTGTATATTTCAAAGAGATTTTTTTTAGTTGTCGATTATGGGAATGTTTAATGTTTCATTCACTATTCATGGAAATTTTATCGAACGAAAATGGGGTCTTTTTATTATTCTTCCATGCAGTTATTTTAACTTTTTAACAAACAGAGCGAATTTTAATTATAAATATCGCTCGGATTAGCTTCCCGCTTGTTTCTGAGTTTTTAAAACAAGAACCATTTTTGTTTCTCATCAGTCGTTCTGTCATAGTTGTTCTAACGGTCTGTCGAAGGCTCTACATGTTGTAGCTTGTATACAAGGTTTATTTTTGCAGTTTTTTGTGTATTGTTGAACACATTATTCTCATAGATGTGTTTTTCTTTTTCTTTGTTGTGAGGCATTGGAAATTGTAATTTTATGATGATATGACATCTGGGCATGAGATCTGTTGTTTCGTCAAGAAATATAACCTAGTCATAGCTAGACAGACGAATGATGATGAAACTAATATATATATAGATATTGTGTGTTGATTGACTTTTAATGGGTGGAATGAAAATGACTTTGTAAGGTTCATTGATTGGCTTAACTGAAGTAAGATTTGAGTCGCTAATTAGAGGTCTTCGAAATGTTTTTTACATCATGTTTTCTTCAAATATGTATCCTTTTCGTCTATATATGCATATAACGTTGAGAATTGTTGATAAATGCATCAGAAGTGATTGTGTATATAACAGTGCATTATACACTATGCAGAGCATTCAGGAAATGCTCTATCAGTATTGCTATCATATCAAGCAAGAATATGTGTCTTGGCGTATCCCCATATGAAATTTCATGAAGCATTATAATTTTACTTTTAGCTGGTCCATAGTCCTTGATTGTAGATTTTGTTTATCTTTCAATTAAACTTATGATGCATACCGTAGATTCTACAGTTGAACACAAGTTTTTAATGCCACGGCTCTTTAGAAATTCAGTGGTAGTGTAAGTCAGTGTGAATTGTTCAGATTTGTGTTAGCGATATCGAGTATTTGATATCAGTTAGCATCAGTGGGAGTTTGATTTTGGGCTTTGTGGTAAGACAGAAGGTGAAAATGATAAGGCTAAGCGGGAGCAATGGAATTTGTAAATTGCACAGGTGCCAACGGAAAGGATGCTCAGTATCTGTGGCGCTGGAACGAATATAGAAAAAGTCGCAGGATGTATACAGCAAGAGAGATTTGCATGATCTCGAAAATGACATGATAGTTTGGGAATTTGATTCAAAATGCGGTAGTAATATTGAAAGGTTAAGATTAACCTTAAATTGAATTTCAGCTATTACATCGCTGTGATTCATTATTATACTATAATCATGTGGAATCGATATGTAGTCAGAAACTTAGTACGATGTGGTGGTGGTAGTGGAATGTTAACGGCTGCTACTTTGGCAGGATTCGCCAATTATGATGAAAATTCTGGCGCAGTACGATCAGTAAAACACTCAGATATGGGAAAATGGCGTGTCGAAGGACCCATCAAAGATCCTACCGATGGAGCACTGATTGCTAAACGGGTTAGAAGACAGTAACAACCTTAATGGCAAGGCATGGATATAGAATTATCGATTGCTTCAATTCTTCAATTAGGGTCCGAGAGATGGAAATGTTAAGAAAATAAATTGAGATTGTCATTGTTTGGATGTTTTTTTTACAGGTTGTGAGTGACTATGATCATACTAATCTGAAATTAAGGCTTTATCAATATGAAGCCTGTCCATTTTGTTGCAAAGTTCGTGCTTTTTTGAATTACTATGGTTTTTCGTACGATGTGATTGAAGTCAGTCCTCTAACTCGAAAAGAGATCAGGAAGTTAGATGGCGTTAGCAAGGTCTGTACCTTTTTATAGAAAATGATGTTGATCATATTTCTTTCTTATAGCACTCATAAATAATGAAACAAGTCAATATAAGCATGAGATTTTCTTTAGCTACCAACTGTAATTGCACAAACGGGTCGGAAGTTGAGTGATTCTTCACTGATAATATCAATTTTAACAAGTTATATGACTCGAAATGATCGAAGTCTGGATGACATAATTGAATTTTATCCAGAACAAAAGAATATTATAAAAGAAACAGGAAAACAAGTGGTTACGCATCCTGATATGTACAAAATTATGACGTCTTTGAACAGCTTGTCGAAAATGGAACAAGAAAGTGCGAGGTTATTTTTACATTTTTGAGCATTCTGTCATACCTACATTGTTTTTTACTATCTATACTGTTTTTCTATACTGCTTGCTTATATTGTTCTTGTGGATTAGTGCCTTCGGTTGTTGAAGTTTTAGTTTTCTGTTGTTTGTTAGCCATTTGCAAGTTAGATGTTCTGTGCAAATTATTTTCCATCAGTTCCTTAATTTAAATATGTGTGAAGGAAGGAAGAGGAATGGCGCAAATGGGTTGATGAACATTTCATTCCTTTGATAGTACCGAATGTGTATCGTTCATGGAATGAATGCATTGAAACATTCCGTTGGTTTAGTGAAGCGGGCCAATGGGACAAAGTGGTACCTGCTTGGGAAAGATATGCCACTATTTACCTTGGTTCAGTCGCTATGTATTTCCTTTCGAAAAAACTTCGGAAGAAGTAAGTTGGATTGTTATTTTTAAGTAAAAAAATTAGGCGCATATTACTGGAAATAGTATTTGCTTTTAATCAGAGTAATTACTGATTAACAGAATCATTACATGAAAAAAATAACATAATGCAGGGAAAATATTCTGTGAAGTTGGATAAACAATTCTGTGTGTGTGTGTGTGTGTAACTGATCTAGATTCATCTGTAGCTATGCATCGAATTGATGTAACATATTTTATTTAAAGAGGTAGTATTCTTTTCAATGCTCTGATTTTTGCTTTTTTCTGTGTTCAATATTTAGGTTGCTAGAGCTATTTTTCATTTTTGACTCTGACGATATTATATTTATTCTTTACTCGTAATCGAACTATGAATTATGAAAGCAAAAACATTTTCAGGTATGATGGGGCTGATGTCCGTCAGCTTCTAATAAATGCTTGTAATCATTGGATGAGTGCTGTGGGAAGTTCATCGTTCCTGGGTGGTCAACAGCCCACTCTGGCAGATTTGGTTTGTTTTGCTTTATATTCTACTTACTTTATTTTTCTCATTAAAAAAGTTTCTCATTAAAATAAAAGTCATCATTACTTCAAACCTTTTACGCAAGGACTTGGTGATAATGCTTTACATAACTCAGTTTGCGATGGATAAAAAAATGTTACCTAATATTTTCTATTATTGGTGTATATTTTTTGCCAGTTTCTCTCCATTCGTTGCCTGAGCGTCTAAAGGAAAAAAATTCTCGAATGCTGGAATTATTCCGAGTTGCTTTAAATTCTTCATTCTTTTCATTTTAGTGTTTTACGATATAGAACTAATCTGATTTCTTTTTTTTTAATTTTTTTTCTACATAACTTTCCCGTTGCAGGCACTCTACGGTGCAATAAATTCGTTTCTGGGAAGTTCAACATTTAATGAACTCTGTGATAAAACTCAAATTAAAGCATGGTTTGAACGGATGCGCGAAGCAGTTGATTCGAGAGCTGGAGCAGCTCTACTCCAGAAAAGTTGTTGCAAGAGAATGCAACCATAAAATGTATTTTTGCTTGTGTTGCGCTTGCAGCTCTTTAAGAAATGCTGTCATAATTAGAAGTGCTTTTACAGTAAAAAATCGGATTGAAAATTAACGCTTTATTTGCTTGACATTACATTTTTTGTTTGTTTGACATATATTTATTGTACGTCATACACCTTTATCTTCTCTTATCTTTACGATAACAATTTTTCAAGCTTATATAGAAATTTATATAGAAATAGATATGAAAATATTAAAACATATAGATTTAACTAAGTGATATTATCAGATTTAATGAACGTATCACTTTTTCGTGCACGAATGTTTCGATGAATTCGGTTTTGTTGATAGGTTTAAATTCTGTCGCTAAATTGTTTCTTGTTATAAAGATATTTTCTAACCGTCAAATAGATCAAACATAATTTTTAAATATTCTTTTTTGAATAATTTATGTTAGTTAAACAGCTATATACTAAAATTCTTGCTTTCCATTTTTTAACTGTTGAGCAGTTGGCGCTGCTATGTAGTCTGTGAGAGGTAAAGTATATCAATATTTATGCTTTTAGAAATTTATCACTGTCCCAGAAAGTATCATTACATTTTCTATTGGAATATGGGAGCTTTTTCTCTGTCTAAAAGCATAAGCTTTAAGATCGATTTCGGGTGAATGTGATGTATTGTCAGAAGGACTTGTATATTGCTCCGTATATTGTATTCCAATTTTTTTGAAAATTTTTTTCCTTAGTTTTACCGTCAAAAGTACCTTAGCTCTGCAATGTGCTGCTTTTTGGAAAGTTGCAGGAATATCATTCAGGAAATGCACATTGAATTTCTCATTGCGATATGAGATTAACATTTCCTGGTTCGGAATACTGCAAGACATATTTTTGGCTTCAAATTGGTGGAAGTACTATCATATATCAATTTCTTTTTAATTAGGATTTCTACACTAAATGGATTATCTGAGAAAAGTCAGTGTTTCATAGGTTCGATAATATTGATGTTATTGCAGCAGTTAATAAAACAGGAATGATATTCTGATAAGCTAGTATTTTAGTTCGAATCATGCATTCTAGAAGAAATTGTTCCCTTTGTTTACTTCCAAGAAGGTGGAATAAACAGGATTTAAAAAAGACGGGACAGAAAATGTACTCACTATTTGAGCAGTGGGAATCGGAGTTTTATTTATTGATCGTATAGTTGAAAGATATGAAACATTTCAGAGGCACGATGATAATGCATCATGATATATAAGATTACAGTTCATGTTTTAGAAATATCAAGTTCAGATTCTCGATGTTGTCTGTAGCTTACTATACTTCAAATAATTTGCAAATGATCATCATTAAATTATTATTTTATATATCTCACCTAATGCTTCACTGGTTGTATGCAGTTTAGGGTGTCGTTTTTAACGAATATTCGCTAATCGTCATATACAGTTTTTAAACTGATTAATTTACTACCAGATAATGAATGTGCCAGCTGATTTGAGCGTTTATTTCCGTGATATGCCGATACAAAGGCTAAATGATGTGATGCTCAGACAACTTAATCCACGAAAATGTTGGATTATTGAAAAAACGATCAATAATATGGGAGCACTTTCTGTAGCTGTATGATTTATTTTTAATGTTGGAAGATGATAAACTAAGTTCATTATGCTAAGGCTTGACAAGTGTGTAAGGGTAGTAGTAGTATGAATTTACATGTTTTTTATAGAGGTAACTTCAATCATTGGCAGTTGCTGTAAAATTCTCGTTGATGATTCCAAAATTGATCAGAAATTAAGAAATATCTAAATTACCAAATTTATGAATAGTATTATCACTTCTGTTAAATGCTTTTCTTTTAGGCACAGGGATTAAAACGTGTGCTCACCACGTATGATAAGATAATCAATTCAGAGGATGGACAGGTGCTTTATTTGTTGTGGAGAAAGAATCCAAATAATGAGTAAGCGACTTCATCATATATCTTGCTTAAGATTTGTTACATAGTAGTGAAAGCATTGAAAGGATTACATTCAAAACATCTCTAGTTGTCACATTGATAATTGTCATTTATCTAGCTTGGTTCATTTTATCAATTATTTGATCACTTAAATAACTAATCAAATTTGGTAAGTAAAAAAAGACGATGATAAATTGATTATGTTTTATCCATTACTGATCGTCTGCTTTTATTTGCAGGAATGCGAGTATAATAATAGGTTTGTTGAAGATCGGCTATAGAAATCTCTATTTGATGGATCGGTCCATGAGGTCTTTTAAAGTAGCACCATTATGTGTGCTTGATTTTTACGTTCACGATACTCTTCAACGACAAGGATACGGACATGCTCTCTTCGATTATATGTTGCAAGTAAGCATTGATATTTCTCAGTCCGTAATTGAATCCTTTTATATTGATTCTTTTCGTTGTAGAAATTAGAGACCTATATTTGCACAGTATTTATGTGTATTTCCACAGTGAATGCGTCTTTTTTTTCAGCAGGAAAACTCATCGGCGGGAAATGTTGCAATCGATAAGCCATCGCAATCACTGTTGCAATTTATGAACAAGCATTATGGTTTGAATGATCCAATATGGCAAGTTACCAATTTTGTTGTTTATCCTTCATTTTTTGAGAATATCAAACAGTGCGATTCCTCCACTTCTATCAATGAACGGTATGCAAAATCTGCAAAAACGAAAGCTGCGAATGAAAATCAGGTTTGTCAAATAATCTCTTTGTCATTCTATCAAAATATCTTCGAAAATTGCTTTATTTAACAATAAGTTTCCTTCCTACCTCTTGTTTTTCTCCATCTTTTAGGAACAATGTTGTTATAGCAATGAAAATGATTTTAGGAAATACTCTCATATATTTTACAAGATTTTTATTAACATGAATCTTTTTCAGCACTCTTACGGAACACTTTGTACTCGTTATCATGAACGAGTTGATAACCTAACGCAGGATAGTGTTGGAGTGGGAAGACGGGTCATTGTCGATCCAGAAACAGCTCAAGGAAGAAAAATATCTCGTGATTTCGAACATCAATCGATATGGTGATTGGTTACCGATAAATAAAGCATTATTTATTGGTGGATTTTGTTCCGTTTTTACATTTTACTATACACTGGAACATATCTGGAATGTAGAATTCTTTTATCTAGTTCAAAATAATATACTCATTCAGTTGGATGAAATAAAAAATATCTTTTTAGATCATAAAATATAAGCTTTGCAATATTAAGGTTTTTACTATGTAAATATTTATCAATCTTTGGGTTGTCGTTGTTGAAATTTTTATTAATTCATCCATCTCTTATTTGTGATCGTAGACACATTCAAGGTTGATTTCACTCATAAACTGTAATATTTTTCACCATATGCATCTCGGTTTTGCTTGGTTAATTTTTACAACATTTTAACATTACGATGTGATTGATTTCTAAAAGCTTTTTGAAAGGGTACATATTTCAGCTTTATTTGTTTGATAAAATGCTTTTAAGATTTATAATGTGAACATTATTAGTGAT